CGCAAAAACATTTTGATAATGAATTTTTCCTATCGGGAAATCGGGACTATTTTCTCAGGCGAAATTCGCGGTAACAGCTCGACTCCAATTGATTTTTTGACCTAGGGAGAGAAATAAATACTTTCTATAATGAAAATGCATACATCGATTGAAATTAAGTGTCGTTTTCTTAAAGTATGAAGGAAATCTGCTTAATAGAATCGGAATATTCACGATAAAAACCAATACTGGGTTGAGCGTGTTCAATGTCCTCCAACACCATTCCTAGCCTCCATTTGTACAAAACTTTACTATTATTGTTAGACTACGCTAAGAATAAAACATCTGTTTGTGATCCTTTACAGTTCCTCATCCCCACGTGGTTTTTCTTTTGTGATTTCTGGCGTTGGGGGTTGACTTAGTTGGTTTAGTCTAGCTCGTTTTAGATACTTTTTCACCTCCTGAGATCCCGAAACGTGAAAACTTGTATACTGATTTTGACGTAAAAATACCTCAACATCCCCTTAAAACCGACTCACCGTCACCAAAAAACTCAACAAACTAAAGATCTTTGTCCATTTAATTGATTATATCCTCGTAATATTGTAGGAATTGAACAAAAACCGTGTCCAAACATTTAGATTTTCTGCACTTCCAAACTCTAAAGGCCTAGCGCACTTTGTTTACTGAATATTCCTCAGACGAAAAGACGAACTATTACTGCATACTTTCATTAGCTTGATTATAAAACACACGGGTGAAATTGAAACCGACGGTGATGGCGTACAGTAATCACTTCCCACCAGTTTCCCTTGTAACTTTCTAGCGGCAAGGTTGCCTACCGCGCCAAGGAGAAGGTTTCACGCCAAACCGGGCGTCGGCGAGGCCTACGACGTCCCTACAAACCGGGGATATTTGTGTCGGCGAGGCCTACGACGTCCCTACAAACCGGGGATATTTGTGTCGGCGAGGCCTACGACGTCCCTACAAACTGGGGATATTTGTGTCGGCGAGGCCTACGACGTCCCTACAAACCGGGGATATTTGTAGCTTCGGTAATAATTTACATCAGTCAAGTGTATGGTATTTTTAGGTAATTACCAAACAAAAAGGCCTATTTAATACCCCCTCCGGACCAAGGTGTTTTTCTATAATATTCCAATAGGCCTATATAAATTTGAACAAATTGGGATTTTTGCTTCTTAGGACACAAAAGTGAAAAATTGAATCAGTCCCGGGAGTAGGTATTTCCGTGAGCCATACAGTACCGTAATAGCTTCTTCCCTATAGGCGAATTCTCTAAAAAGGATACGATCACATCATTCCATTTCAATATCTTCATTAATTGTACAGTGTACATTGAATTGTGTCAATATTATTAACCTAGTAAATAAAGTCGTTAGGCTAATAGGACACTCATCTCCATTTATACTTGGCTTAAAATACCTACTTTGTATGATCGCAACTTCATTGAAAAGTATTAAAGTATAAAATTACTTTTTAAATTACAATTTATATGCCTACAACAGAAATACATAACAATTTCAAGCTGTTTGAGGAAACAGCTCTGGAGTAATAAGCAATTTCTATAAGATATATTTTTTATTTGATGCTGCCAATGGTTTTTAAATTATTAGGAAGAAAATGCAAGAACCTTCTTCTGGCACAGGTGGTCTTTGAAAAGAAAAGATAGTTGTGATTATTTTCTCTACTTTTCCTCTAGTATCGTAGAAAATTCTTTGTTTGAAGTTCATTGTTGGTGATGGTGAGTTAATGTTGTTCAAAGGTTTATTGCGGACATTTTTCATCACGATGGTAAAAAACAATACACAACAATAATATTGTAGAATAATTTAACATTATTCTGTATACTTTCTTTAGCAACGAGAGTTTTTAAAATGTGTTGGGCAAAGACCATTAGAATTTTAAAATTTTAACACTCATCATTTTTTACTCCCATAATTGTTTTTATTGCCCTTTGCTGTAGTTTTAGAATTAAAGTAAGATCTTTCTTTGTTGTAGCTACATATTCTGTTTGAAATGGATAAGAGAATGATATATTGTTTTCAAAGTACTGATATTACATAGATAAGACATCTTTTTCAGTGCAAATATCCCTGAATTAATCTTTAACATGATCAACGTGGTTCTGCCGGGATTGGTGCTCATACATTTTTAAACCTAAAAACAAAAACCCTGTTTCTTCAACTTGTTTGATTTCATTAAAATAGAAACTCATTCATTGCTTGTGATTTCATTAATAGAGATTTTTTATTCTAGATTTAGATTATAGTACAGTAATTGGTTATTTTAGTTTACAGAGTGCTGCAAGCTGTTTTTGTACTAATGAGGAAAGCATGTAGTAATTTTTACATTAGCAAGAAGACTGAGAACAGTATGATCAGGCCTTGAAGGCCAGACCAATCTAAAAAAATACATGAGAGTGAGCAAAAATAAATATTTTTATTGTGTTTCAAAAGCAAAGTATCAAAGGGAAAATAAATCAGAAGTTAGAATAAACCAGAACACTTCATACATAAAATGGACAATCACAATGTTTCTTCAAACCTACTAACTACACAATCAACAGTTTAAAACCTTGTAAATTTACAATAGTGAAATTTGGTTTTGACGCAGTGTGCAACTAACTACCAGGAGGGGTGTCTTGGTCTTAAAGGGTAAATGAGGAGTTTAAATAGACATCAGTATTCTATATCTTTGTGAAAACTTGTTTTTAACCCACCTAACTGAATATCCAAACTACACAAGCTTATCGGCAATATTTCCAACCACACAATTATTATGTGAGAAACATTAAAAATGGTGAGGTAATCCTAATCACCATAACAAGACTTGAGAACTATCATCTTTTAAAAGTTAGCTAATCTGTAAGTTTTTTGGCGATATTTGGAGCAGCAAACCTTAGTAGGTGGTAATCATAGTTATAATTCAATCAATGTTATTCATACTTGGTACATACGTGTATGTAAGTGTAAATTCCCCCTTTTTACTGGTTAAAAAATTTGTAAAAGCGATTGTTAGTTTGCTCAGGTTGTAACCTATATGCTGCAAAACGCGTCACAACACAGTACTTTGGAATTTATTAACGTTTTTTGCAGTCTAAATCCTGGTCTTATCATTGAACCTTTAGCTTGATAGCATCATAATTGATAGCCTAATCACAAATGTATCTGGGTCATAAACGGGTGTCAAAATAATTACACTATTCGATCATTGTCACTTATGAGTACAATGCCTCGACAGTCTAAGTTCGTCCGGTTGTGTGCATCGGCCAAGCAAATATAGCAAGCACTCTGAACCTCCTCTATAAATACATTAGATTCCCTTGAACTGAACCTTGTTGCAAACGCTTCCACTTCACGCTTATTTATGTTTTCCCTCAAAATATAATTCTTGTGAAAATTATTTTACACAATGTGGAAACATAATATTTAGTTCTTGAGTTTTGGAAAGTAATGCTAAGCCGTTTATACAACTTATAAATCACTTATGTTGTGAAACAGCTGATTATCTTGGTTCAAACCATCTTTTATTTAATCTAACACACTGTTTACTCTAACAGTGCCGGATTGATCCTCATTGACGTTCTACGCCAAACTCAACGCTTGAGCTTTGTGCCTCCCGTTCTCAAGGGTGGTTCACCTGCTAGTTTGCAGTAGTTTACCATACCAGTAAGAAAACAAAATAATTACTTTTTAATAATTTTTCAATTACATTTTTGTAGGGTTAACGAGATATTACAACAGCCAGAAGCATAAAAGATTTGTCATTGAATTACATGCATAAGTTGTGTTGTTGTTAAATCTTATTATATTATTAAAGTGATACAATAAAATTTTTTGTAAATGGTTATGGCCATTAACCAAATAAAAATATAGGCATATGGCAGATCAAAATGAAGCTCAGAGTGTTTAGATTTGCCGAAAAGTATTTATGTGAATGAGTTCCCCTAGGGGGCTCTGCCCCATAGGCCGATGTTCAAAGGGCTACGCCTTACATGTTTTAGAATTTAAGTCATTTGATTAAATTAGTGAACAACAGCTGGTCAATGCAATTAATTGACAACAGTTTGTTTATTTACATTTTTGTTTACTTATTTTATTATTTACTTTTATGTTCTTAAAAGAGGGGCGGTAAATTAACATAGATGCTATTTCTATGAAAAAATAATGTCTTTTGGTCGCCCAAGAGGTTTTTGCCGATCTTAATAGGTCGTTGTGAAAAAGAGTGGCGAGTTCAGGTACAACCGTACGCACCTCGGCCACCTCAGGGTCATAAGGTATGAAGGTCCCGCTGTTTTTAACATTCTTTCTGATGAACATTTCTCAAACTTGGGCCCTTTAAATGAAATATGTAGACATTGTAGTGCGAATGTGAAAGTCTCTCTGCCACCAAATGGTAGTTACACTATCTTTATAGGTCTTTTATCTGGAGAATATGATAGATGACGATTTTGTAGAACTCATAAGGAGATATAATTCAGCACTATCATTCGTAACATTTGGTTACGACCTGACGTAAGAAATCCTAAAGGTTATGGACCTTATTGATTTACTGTATGTGGACAGGTCCATCACTACGCGGGTGATCTCTTTGCGTCAGACCCTCAAACTTTCAAGAACAACTTTATGTTCTTGATGTAGGTAAAGCTACTAACAAAAGAATGAAGAACTCTAATGAGTTGGATCAGACGATTTTGTAGGAATTGGGAGCAATTTTGACAGAAATAAATCCATACGCGAGATTGTATAAGAATCAACACAAAGTTTTTACACCTGCATTTCTAATATTTATTTTAATAAAATTGCCCGAACGAAGAGCGGGCCAAACAGCTAGCATTATTATATTTTGATCACATTGTAGTTATATTAACACTTCATTGTTCAACTGAGGCTCTGATTCAATTCCTTGTAGTCTAATAAGACACATATTCTCCCTAAAAAAATTAGAGTATTTAAAAAGTTACATGTTCACGCCATAAGAAAATATGATAATCTTACCTCGTAGACATTTGGATGCCAAACTTTGGTGAGGAAACGAATCGTGGGTGGAGAGTATGGATAATCATGTGGAAATTTCATGTGAGCCTGAAACAAAAATGACAGTTTAAATTTGGTAGGCCTACCTACAAGAGTGAATTATAAATAGGCAGTCCTAATGATAACACACCTATTGGAACTCCAAAAGTCGTCGACATGGTTAACCCTGGTCATCTTTAGCCGTGCTTGCTTTTGAGACGGTAGGTCCTATTGCCACCTAGATTCTGGATAGCCTGCTCCTGTTTATGTAAATGTGTGTCGCACACCTGTGGTATGCCAAGGGATGAGTGCAGCCCGAGACCGTCCATACGCTCAGTTCTAGCCTCACATCTAGAGGCTTCATCCGTCAACTCTCAGTTTGTCGTTAGCCCCCATGGAGGGAGTTTTGCTCTGGTCAATGTTCGCTAGTTTTGTTCTTAAAAAGCATCGTGCCAAATTGAAAGGAAACTATTAATAGTCAGAATGCACAAGACAGTGGTTGCTGAGACAATTTTTTATGCAGTCACTTTATTCTTAAATATTACCCGTCACAAACACAGAAAACGTTTAGGAAGTTCAATTAACTCTAAGAGAAATTCAGTCTGTCGAATACCCGTTCAGTTGATACACACCTTGTAGAGTGAATAAACCATCGACTGACTGAGTAAAATCGCCTAAGATGTGTAAATAGTGTGCGCACTTCTCAAAAGAGTCCACATGCTCCAACTACAACCAAGATCTCTCTGCACCAAACAGGTCGTGCTTTTTGAACACGATAGCCTATAAAGAACACCGACCAGATCCTAAACCATAAACAAAAATTCGCGTACTTGCTCAACACCTTGTTGATTATAATCACTCAATGAGTGATATTAAGACCGGCTTGGAAGTTTTACATTATTGCGGGAAAGGTAATAAATTGGACACACTTGAGGAGTATGAAATATATAAAATGAACATAGCCTAAACTAAAAACGCAAAGAATACATTCTCAACGATAAACTACAGTTCAAGTCCCACTCCTTCTTCAACACTGCTATCTCATCCGGAACAGCTGAGCACCGAGCTGATAACAGAGAAGGACGAGACGAAGTTATAACCCGTGTCAAGTCTACCTACAACCGCTGCCGTGCCGTGACATGATAGCGCCATTGTGTTATTTTGTGACTAAATGTCCCGTGTATGTACTGTATATGTAAATTTTAATGTTTTTGACGTAAAGCTCCGACGATGATGCATTGCAACGAAACATGCCGCTTTGAACTTAATACAATTGAAGTTAGACGCAATTTTGGACTACTGACAGAGGTAAGCCTAAATTCATTTAAATACGTAGTTCAGGAGCTATCAGAACTAATGAATACTACACAGCCAAGAGTTACAGTTGTTGCAGACATTTGACGTTTTTCCTTAAACCTCACACGTCGTCACAGAAATGTGCGCACATCTCAATTTTGTTATAGGTAATCTGCAGTACACACACTCACATTTAACATCAGGTGTGTCCACATATTTGTGTGAAAAAGTGTGAGCGTGTGGACCGGGCCTAAGCTGAATATGAATAGGCCTATGAGGCGAGTGTAAATGGAGTGAGATCAGATGATGATCTGTGTATCTTTACTGACTCACATCGCCTTCTTCTTTAGCCAGGACCACTGATTAAAAGCACAATAATAAAGTACAGATACGCATTGTTCCGATCAAAAAGCTACTGGCTTTTCTTCAGATCGAACTGGCGACCTTTTGATTACAAGGCGAGCAGTGTAAGCACTCCTAACTCCCTAGCAGTTCTGCAGTCGCAACACCATACAATTCATGTTACTTTACCAAAACCGTTCTATACCACAAAGCAGGTTTATTCTTGCTAATTTTATTCCAAAACCGCAAAGAATCTGCTAGTTGCCATTTAAAATTGGGCTTTTTAGTATTTGTGAAATGGACTGAGTCAGTACAGAGTAGCCTACATAGTAAACAAAACTGACTCAGGAATAGCCTCTTCTAATACAAGGGCAAGACCAAAGAGACAACACTGCTGTATCCCAGCAACCCGAAACAGCAGTTGCACTAATTTATAATAAAGTGTCTGCGCAATTTTTATGTTTACACGCTTGTTATTTCTGTTATTACCATGACAACAGGCTGGCCGATGCGACGTTGCCATTCCCACACATAAAAGGTAAGGGTAAAAGGTGGAGCTTTATGAACCAGGCCTTAAGTAAGTGCCCTAATAGGCTAGGCTAATAGCCTACTAATGTTGGATATTGAAAAATTGAAATTATTAAATGAGGGTAGGCCTACTGGTTATCAAATTATTTTAAACCCCTTAAGTTCGGTTTTAACACAAAAATTAATTTAGCCTATTTCCAATATCAACTGTCCATTACTATACTGTAGACTACTGCTGTTACAGTAGCCGTACAAGTTGTACAAGCTGTTACAGTTATACAGTACAAGTGACATCACGGGGCGATCCAGAGGTGACAGTGTGTTATCAGTTAATAAGGCAATGTATGCGACCAGCAAAGTTATCTTACGTTTTGTTATATTTATGTATTGGTTTGACCGCTCATATGAGTAGGCCTAAATAAATAAATGTGCAAATGTTTAGTTTACCGGCACAAGATAGGCTACAACCAATGACCTAGGCCGAACTATGTTCGGTATTTTTTACGGCTCTAAGCATGGTTCATATTTCGACAAGCTAATTTTATTTATGTAGTGATTTGGTTTCATTTGGTGGATTAGAAGTTAGGAAAGTTTAAAAATGTAAACAAGCAGAACAACCTTCCATCCTTGCATGTTTTTTCTGTCATTAATTTGCTAACTTAACATAACCGTTAGAAGCTCAGTTTTCAGCAGATAATTTACTGTGCTGGTTTTTAAGGCGAGTGTACGTTGCGTTTTAGACCTTTTTTTCCTTTTAATGTCCCATAAAACGTTTTACACCCTACCCCATCATCCCAGTTCCCATCGGTCCTTGTATGGTATATGGTAGGATAGATTAAAGGTCTTGTCGCTATTTTACGTTCTTCTTATTTGTGCAGTCTAGTTAGCATAAGTGAAGCCTTCCTAACAACCATCCATCATGGACTGTTCCAGTCGCCTAACCTACGGCATACTTCTCTAGGGCCATGCTTCAGGATGTAATGAAGTACTTCAAAAGGCTACAAAAATCTGTCTTGAGAGCCATACTAGGTGGCGTTCGCAGAGGCATCCACAAAATTGAGCGGAGTCATCAAGGTTTCATATTATATTGTTTTTGTCTTACTGCAGTAAAAACAGTATTTTTTCATGCATGCGCTGTGGGTCTAAAGTAGCATTTTTAATATTTAGGGAGTAAAAATCGTTTTTAGCCTCTATGGAGTAAAAATCAGCTGTTGTCAACTCAGTTGTAAATTTCGATTGTAAACGATTGCATGTATCGAAAATATGTATCGATTTGTGCTTCGTAATCATTTTTAACATATTACAGTCTACAGTCTCTTCCCGTAGCATTTTAGCATTGCAGATACATTAATCCATTCCCAAATTCAACACTGCTCACATTTACTACTTCCTTCACCACACCCTACGTCGTGGACCTGTTTCCCTCTCTTCCCATAGCATTTTAGGATTGCAGATACATTAATGTAATTGCCAAAGACAGTTCCCACACTCTGCGCTGTTAACCTTACTACTTCCTTCACCATTTACTACGTCATTGGCCTGTTTCCTTCCTTTCTCATAGCATTTAAGTATTACAAATTCACTTATCCATCTGCTCAAACGGTTCCCCCACTCTGCACTGCCAGCCTTTACTACTTCCTTCACCACTTACGTCGTGGACCTGTATTCATCGCTTTCCATAGCATTTTAGTATTTTAGATACGTTAATCTAATTGCAACAAACATCCCCACTGTCCGTACTGCTAGACTTTACTACTTCTTTCACAATTTCCTATGTCTTGGGCATGCTTCCATCCCTTCTCATAGCATTTCAGCATTGCAGATACATTAAAACTGCTACAAACGGTTTCCAGTTCCCACACTCCACACTGCTCACCTTACTACTTCTTTCACCTGTTCCTACGTCGCGGATCTGTTTCCCTCTCTTCCCATAGCATTTTAAGATTGCAGATACCTGAATCTAATCGTCATAAACAGATCCCACACTCCGAACAGCTCGCCTTTACTACTTCATCGCCACTTCCCACATCGCGGACCTGTTTTCCTCCCTTCCCATAGCATTTTAGGATTGCAGATACCCTTATCTTATCGTCATAAACAGTTCCCACACTCCGGACAGCTCGCTTTGACTACTTCCTTCACCACTTCCTACGTCACGGGCCTGTTTCCCTCCCTTTCCCATAGCATTTTTGATTGCCCATACCCTTATCTAATCGTCATAATAGTTCCAACACTCCGGACAGCTCGCCTTGACTACTTCCTTCACCACTTCCTACGTCGCGGACCTGTTTCCCTCCCTTCCCATTGCACTTAAAGATTGCAGATACCTTAATCTAATCGTCATAAACAGTTCCCGCACTCCGGACTACTCGCCTTGACTACTTCCTTCACCACTTCCTACGTCGCGGACCTGTTTTCCTCCCTTCCCATAGCATTTTAGGATTGCAGATACCCTAATCTAATCGTCATAAACAGTTTCCACACTCCAGACTGTTCACCTTTACTACTTCCTTGACCTCTTCATACGTCACGAACCTCAAGCTAGTGTCGTCATTTGATTATAGTACCTGGGGACCGAGCTTTGCTCGGGGAAAATCATTAGTTCACTCTGAAAGCACCGTAGTATTGGAGATACATAAATCCACACATCTACATCCTACACAATTTCTTACATCATGGACCTGTTTCCCTCCATTCCATTGAATTTAAAGATTGCAGATACCTTAATCTAATCGTCATAAACAGTTCCCACACTCCGGACTACTCGCCTTGACTACTTCCTTCACCACTTCCTACGTCGCGGACCTGTTTCCCTCCCTTCCATAGCATTTTAGGATTGCAAATACCTTTATCTAATCGTCATAAACAGTTCCCACACTCCGGACAGCTCACCTTGACTACTTCCTTCATCACTTCCTACGTCGCGGACCTGTTTTCCTCCCTTCCCGTAGCATTTTAGGTTTGCTGATACCTTAATCTAATTGTCATAAACATTTCCAACACTCCGGACAACTCGCCTAGACTACTTCCTTCACCACTTCCTACGTCGCGGACCTATTTTCCTCCCTTTCCATAGCATTTTAGGATTGCAAATACCTTAATCTAATCATCATAAACAGTTCCCACGCTCCAGACAGCTCGCCTTGACTACTTCCTTCGCCACTTCTTACGTCACGGACCTGTTTCCCTCCCTTCCCATAGCATTTTAGGATTGCCCATACCCTTATCTTATCGTCATAATAGTTCCAACACTCCGGACAGCTCGCCTTGACTACTTCCTTCACCACTTCCTACGTCGCGGACCTGTTTCCCTCCCTTCCCATTGCACTTAAGGATTGCAGATACCTTAATCTAATCGTCATAAACAGTTCCCGCACTCCGGACTACTCGCCTTGACTACTTCCTTCACCACTTCCTACGTCGCGGACCTGTTTTCCTCCCTTCCCATAGCATTTTAGGATTGCAGATACCCTAATCTTATCGTCATAAACAGTCCCCACACTCCGGACTGCTCGCATTTACTACTTCCTTCATATCACTTCCTACCTCACGGACCTGTTTCCCTCTATTCCCATAACATTTTATGATTGACTTTACTACTTCCTTCACTACTTCCTACGTCACGGACCTGTTTCCTTCCCTTCCCATAGCATTTTAGGATTGCAGATACCTTAATGTATTCGTCATAAACAGATCCTAGACTTCGCACTGCTACCCTTGACTACAATGTATCGAGTAATCTTAAGTATAATCTTTGCTCAATATTAACAAGTGATGTTTTTCCTTTTGTACTGTATTTGTAATTTCCTAGTATACTGTGGGTAGTTGGCTTATTATGAACACATGCTAAAACTTCAAATCTTTTGTTTACTTTTTACTTGTTATTTAATTCAGCCAACATGGTTACCTAGCAACCCATAAGACTAATGTTAAGAAAATATGATTTTCAGTTTCATTTTTCTACGGATTCCTGAGAGACTTTTTTAACGCTATATAGATGTTGGCACTCACCGATATGGTCTTTATCACCATGCAAAATTTGAAAACGATTGATTCAGCCGTCTAGGAGGAGTTTGCGTATTACGAAATGCATAAAAGTCGACGTATAAGAGCTTCGCTCGCTTCGCTCGCTCCGCTCAAAAATCTAGTGCTTCCTTGTAGGCTAATAATGCAAAAAACCAATCTAGAAGGCTGAAAGTCCACACTACCATCAGGCTACATAGGCCTATTCTCCTCCCTTGCAAATACTGTACGTATGTTAGGTGTAGTAGGTTAGGACTGAGCTAACTTATAGTAGGCTACCTACTAAAGATCACAGGAGATTTTCACAACATAATAGACACAGCAGAAACAAAATTTATAACTTAAGACTGAATTCCACCTCACAGAAACCCAGTGCCGAGATCAGCAGTGTCCAGAGAAAACGGTTATAAAAATGGTAGAGTGCCCATCACCTCCCTGCCCAATTTTTGTTTTAGGTTTCAATTTTTTCCTTATAAGTTAGGCCTAGGTAACCAGACTACAATTTTTTTTTTAGTTGAAAATGTTGTAAACCAATTTCACTTTAAAAGTTGAGCAGTTTATCCAGCTTTGCTAGTCATCAACGCAGATTTTAGAAGTTATGTTAACAAGGTAAGTTACCAGCAATAAGACAGTCTACATACCTCAGAGGGTATAGGCCCTAAGTTAACTTAGCTTTCTTTAGGCTGCTGTTTTTTTTGCTTAGACCTTGGCATAAGTTACACTGATGCTAACTTATCTTATCCCTCGTTCGATAGATCTAGGCTAACTTAATCTAGCTGGATGGTTGTGTGCTTAAGTTACTCGCCTATCGGTATTCATCTGAAGGTCGCCTGCACGATCTTGAGAATAATTAGTGGGGCCTAGATTTTATAGGTACTAAGTTTAGGTGTAAAACTTACCCCCCCCCCCTCCTACACCCAGTAATTAGTGATTTAGAGATTTGAGGACACCATCAATATAGCCTACTGGCTACTGGCATTTACATTAACCAAGATGGGCTACATTTCTACTTAGGACATGGAAGTATGTCATAAACCATTCCATTGACATGTGTAATATCTTGTTAGGCCTATTTTAAATAGCAATAGAATCTTACCTTGAAGTATCCTCCTTGGTACAATGTTTCTGGAGGTCCAAAAATTGCAACTTCCCACTCAAATAAATTGTCATCATTAGCAAGTTTTACACGAAATCCTTCAACTGGTTCTTCCCTGTAAACTCTTATATTCTAAGGCCAAAGCACGTAAAGCACTACTGGTTGGCTGTTGAGCCATCTAGGCCTATTCCACTGATCACTCGTTAAATCGACAAACAAAATATTCTTCAAAAATAAATAGCCATGGACAATAAATGCTTCAACACAGTAGTTATTTAACTGAACTATGACGTCACGGACAATGAAAATCTTTCATGTACAGTTAGCAAATGAGGTATAAGTTAGAACCATACTTTCAAAACAAGAACATTGGTCTACCAGTGAGAAAACAAGAAAATAAAAAGAAACACACAAATTTTCTTTGAATACGCACTAAAAGTTCACTGTTTAACACGAGTTTGTGTCCCAACTCGAACTAAAACAAATCACAATCAGCTGCAACAACACTACAACTACACAAGGTAACACGAACGACACGACAAGAAACAACAGAACAGACGGAGCAGAGACTTTACTTACACTGAGTGAGAGCAATAATAAGAATAGTGAGAACAATAAGAAGAAGCTTAGAAAATAAGAAAACGGAATTGTAGTGGCTAATGCCATCACAGCTCTTCATCTGCTAGCTACTATAAAGAATGTAAGATCAAAAGTAACTGTTTCAATTTGTTTGTTAACAGCAGAATATAAGTTACCTTGCAAAAAACAATTGTGTTGTAGGTACCATCATATTTCATCTCATTTACATGATACCATCACAACAGGGTGCCTAATCGTATTTGTGGATTACGCATACCTCGTTTGAATTTAAATTCATCATTGCTATGGAATTTAATGACATTTCCATCGTGGTTCCGGTTTAAATAGAGAAACCTGCTTTATAGTTGTAGGAAAAATATAATGTTCAACACGAGTGCAAAGCTCCTTTTCTGCACTCAAGAAATTTTCCAAACTCGCCTGTGGCTCGTGCGTTAACATTTCTCTCGTGTGTAGCAAAGTGCCACTTCACCCACTAGTTACACAAATAACTATTATTTACTATGCATTTGTTAATTTCACTGGTTTGAAAATGTAGTTTAACCAAATAAAACGATATAATTATAAGCAATATCCCATCCTCTATACAGCTAGTTTTATTAAACGTTTTCAATTGATATATTAAATAAATAAAGCACATAAAAAAATCAACCCTAAGATGGGTAAACAAACACACTTTGGCTCGCAGCCATGTCCGTTTGTCTGTATGCCCGGACGTCATCCTGTCATTGCCATCTGCTGCTGCAGCGCACCCCACTAAAACCCTGCAACACTTAAACTAGCCAAAACACAGGGGGTTGGTTCTTTATATATTGTCAGCACATCTGTAAATTCATCTCTTTAAAGTAGAAGAAAGCCTTTATACCTTTTTCATAGAGTAATAGAAGTGCGGTAGTGAATTAATAAAACTTCAACTAGATAGAGTTGTCTGCAGTTTCATTAGGGTTAGGGTTAAAAAAAACCTAACCTAATCCAACCACATTCCACTAGTGGTAGTGAATCTAGAAAATGTCCAAACCATTAAATTTTGGTAATAAAATAACGAAATCCTACAAATATGCTTATTTATTTTTCTATTTATCGGGTGTACCATTGATCCCCCTTGCTGATGGAGCAACATCATCATTCGTCACAGTTTAAATATATCCTATATATTTTTTTCATCCCAGTTTCAAGAACTTCTCTGAAGATACCAAACAAGGTGAAAAAATGCATAGGGTGAACCCCTGATGATTCTACACATGGTGGAAAAATGCTCATGTTAACATATATACACCTTACCAAAGAACTCAGACTACAATAAAAGTAAATCAACCCAGTCTCGTCGTCACTACAGCTGGACTCATCAATCCACACTCCAAAGCACACTATTAAAACCACCTTCACACCAAGAGACCCCCAACCATCCATGACTGATGAATACTCGGTAGATCGTAACAAGAGGTGCAAATAGGTGTAAGAAAAAACAAATCTATCAACTCAGCACTAAATGAACTCCACGAAGCAATTACCATCCTCTGGGAAAATAAACAACCAGCATCAGGACTCTTCTTAGACATACAGAAAGCCTTTGACAGCTTAGATATAGAGATATATACTGTTTGACAAACTATACCAAATTAATATAAAAGGAAACGCACTAAATTGGATTAAAGACTATTTCAAAGATAGGCAACAACAGGTTGAAATAATTCACCAGATAAATAAAATACAAACAAAAACTAAATCACCCACTCAACTAACTAAACGAGGAATTCCTCAAGGATCTGTACTCGGACCCCTCTACTTCTTGATATACATCAATAGCTTCCCAAATTATCTAACACCAGATAAAACTTGCATAATGTTTGCTGACGACACCACCATAATTTATCCAACATCATCTACAAACCATGCTGAAACAGAAAAAACCCTAAAACTGGCATCAGAAATATGTCCTTCACTAAACCTTAAAATCAACACATCAAAAACTGTCAACATAAACTTTACAGCATCGAATCAACCTGACCATAACCCACCTGCAAACTGCACCTCGATCACAAATGGCAACAGAAACCAAATTCCTCGGCATCACCCTGGACAAAAACTTGTCCTGGCACCTACATATAGAAAACCTGGAAAAGAAATTGTCAACAACACTCTTCGCAATAAGAAGGATTTGGTCAGTGACTGATAAGAGTACAGCCAAAATAGCATATTTTGCCCTATTCGAAAGTCACTTGAGGTATGGCATCATAGCCTGGGGCTCAGCAGCAGACTACCATCTACAAAAGCTACTAATACTTCAAAAAAGAGCTGTGAGATCAATTGAACAACTGCAATATAGGAAACACTGCAAACCTTTTTTCACTACCAACCAAATCCTAACTTTACCCTCCTTGTACATCCTAGAAATAATGAAATTCCTAAAAAATGACCCCCCCCAAACCAGAAACAATTGCCATAACTACAACCTCAGAAATTTACAGACAAACTACAATCTACAACCACACAGACTCACTAAAACTAGCAGAAATCCAAAAATAATAGGAACTAAAATATTTAACACACTGCCAAACAACCTGAAATCAATAGATTCAAACACTCTTTTCTTAAAAAAACTGAAACAATACTTAATCAACAAACCTTACTATAGTCTAAATGAATATTTCGAAGACCACACACCCTACAACAATACATAACAATATCCAAAGAAGAAAGAAAAAGAAAAAACAAGAATTTTTGACGATTCCCTGGTCTCAACGACTATGGAGAAGAGGACCTAGGTAAAAGGTAAAAGGTAAGGATCTGTCCACTGGACTGACGATTTGGATGGTGAGTGTTTACAGCCTCTGGATATCTGCATGTAGATGTCGGTTTGTCTACAGACTATGTATTGGACTATGGTTTTGGCTATGACTTTGTATTGGCCTTGAAGGATTGGGACCGTCTAGGTTTGGTTTTAACTCAACAACTTACCACCGAAAAAAGTTGAGAGAAGTGCCTGATGTTGGCGACCAGGGGCCCTATTTTTGAAATGGTTGACTGTTGAGTTGAGTGTCGAGTCATTATATTTCCAATCGTTTCGTATTTTTGAAACGATTGACGGTCGACTTATCCAACCAAAACTACTCACCACCTACTGAGCTGTTGAGTGGACGGTTGACTGCACTTTCTTCTTCCTCTTTCGATAAAAAATTGCTCTTTTTGAGTCGACCGACGCCATATTGTTATTGCTTTAATTTATTAATTGCGATTTAGAGGTTATGTATTTGTTGTCAATGTATTAGCACCCAATACTTTATGCGATTGTTTTCTGTAGAATAATTGCATTTTAATTTTATTATTACTGTGTCAATACTAGACTAATTAATCAAGGGTTTTATCCTTGTTGGTATGTTTGAAAAAATAATTATTGTTATTAGACCTATGATTTAAAGGTATTAAAGATTGTGGTGGAGAGAAACAATATCATAGTCTGTTTATATAGCATTCACCTAATAAAGGGATCAAATTAATTTAAGTTACGATATGCTTTCAGTGCAATGGCAAATAGCCGCTTTAACCTAAATAAAAACACAATTAAAAATAACATCAAACAAACCGATGAAGGAAACTAAAATAAGGTAATGTGTTTCGAAATAGAGACGAAGAAATCAAATAATAATGTATTTAGGATATGCCTAAGCTTATAATTAGCTACACCCTAAAACAAACATCCATAGTAAATTTTATTTTTAATACTTAAGTTTATTTTATAAGTTAAGGTACTTTTGCAATCACTAAGATTGAAGATTCAAGACATAACCTCAACCTCAATCTCTCAAGAACGGAGTTGACAGTTTACCCCAGTGTCTCGAAATATGGTAGATTGAGATTAGCTGCCAGATTTTAGAGTAAGAACATAGACTAACCAACACAAGGGAGTATGTTTTATCTATGGCAAGAAGAGGTTAAATCGAAGATCGCAAGAACTCTGCATTGTGATTGGTTCAAAATGACGTCATCTGAATTTCGTGCGGTCGTATGCTCTACATTTCCACCACGAGTCACTCAACTAGTGATTCCCAACTCGCTTCCCAACTGTTGGGTTTCAAAAATACCAAATCCTGTTGTTGGTAGAGTTGAGTGCTGACGATTGACTCAACTGTCAACCATTTCAAAAATAGGGCCCCAGGTTGAACTACCAAATAGCGGGTACAAAATACCAATTACAATACTATATGAAATACTGACCCACCTCTATCAACAACAAACTCCTGCCAGGGACCCATTTTTGAAATGGTTGACTGTTGAGTTGAGTGTTGAGTCATTCTATTTCCAATCGTTTCGTATTTTTGAAACGATTGACGGTGGACTTATACAACCAAAACTACTCAACACCTATCGAGCTGTTGAGTGGAGGTTGACTGCATTTTCTTCTTCCTCTCTTTCGGCAAAAATTGCTCTTTTTGAGTCGACGCCATATTGTTTGTTATTGCTTTAATTTACTAATTGCGATTAGAGGTTATGTATTTGTTGTCAATGTCTTAGCACCCAATACATTATGCGATTTTTTTCTGTAGAAAAATTGCATTTCAGTTTTATTTACCGTACTGTGTCAATACTAGACTATTTAATAAAGCGTTTTATCCTTGTTAGTATGTTTGAAATAGACTAGGCATACTAATTGAACTTATTAAAAGATAATTAATGTTATTAAACCTATGATTTAAGGTACTAGATTGATGTGGTAGAGAGAAACAATATCATAGTGTGTTTCAATAACATTCACCTAATACAGGGATCAAATTAATTTAAGTTACGATAAGCTTTCAGTGCAATGGCAATAGCCATAAGCTTTAACCTAAATAAAAATATAATTAAAAATAACATAAAACAAAACGATGAAGGAAACTAAAAATAAGGTGATGTGTTCTGAAATAGATACGGAGAAAGCAAATAATAATGTATTTCGGATATGCCTAAACTTATAATGAGCTACACCATAAAACAAACATCCATAGTAAATTTTATTGTTATTACTTAAGTTTATATAAGGTACTTTTGCAATCACTTAGATTAAGCAAGACATAACCTCAATCTCTCAAGAACGGAGTTGACAGTTTACCTCAGTATCTCGAAATATGGTAGATTAGATTAGATTGAGATTAGCTGATCAAGATTTTAGAGTAAGAAGAGGTAAAATCGAAGATCACAAATACTCTGCATTGTGATTGGTTTAAAATGACGTCATCTGAATTTCGGGTGGTCGTATGCTCTACATTTCCAAAACGAGTCACTCAACTAGTGATTTCCAACTCACTTCCAAACTGTTGGATTTCAAAAATACCAAATCCTGTTGTTGGTTGAGTTGAGTGTCGACTGTAGAGTCAACTGTCAACCATTTCAAAAATAAAATAGGGCCCCTGGTGACACCTTGACGGAAGCATGCTGGTAGCCTGTATAACACCGCCACCTCCGAAATAAAGTGATGCATGAAGTAGCATGAAATTGTCAGATACACAGATTAGCATATTGAATTGTATTGTAGATGATGAGCAGTAGTTTAATTTTGTATGGATTTAGCTTTAATATCAATCCAAAAGTTCTCATGAACTTTTGAGCTAACCACAACTAACTTACACCCCTTGAACCATATAGGTCGTGTAGAGAAATATTACTTGAAACTATTAATATTTTAAAATTTAAAGTCATCAAGCAAATGATTTACTTGTTAAGTATTCTTCTACATCATCTTAGAGCTTGCAAAAAATGCAGTTGATTCTTATTTAGGTACATAAATATTCCTAATAACACCAAACTGTGCAGACTAAAGCATTGTAAATAGTGTAAATATTATTTTTGGTTTATCCTTGACACAGTCTATCCAGAAATTCTGATCAACGACATCATTGCAGCAGGAATTATCAGGAACTAAATCGCAACATTGTATATCAACTGATTGGTAATTAACTAAAGGAAGCAGAACTGCCAACTAATTGAAGCTTGTTTTGTCTGTAAACAGTATACTCTACGATTGTGATTTGTGTTAATGGTAAGTTTTATACAAAAAACACCTCGCATAAGCAATGCAATGCAGTTGAAACAGCATGGGTGTTATTGTGTGGTTTGTCAGACACTAAAGTAAGCCTTGTCCTCATAAATCACTTTATCTAATCGCTTATTTACTTATACATTTCATGGTGAATATTGCTGGTGGTGTATATTGGCAAGAATTCAAAATGCATAACCTAAATATTCGAGATAAGGTTGTTTGTCATTTACCAGAACTTTTGTCATTATCGACAAAAATCAGGGTTTATTTTGAAAAATTGTCTTAAATTTAATAAAGGCACTATAAATTAACAAAATAATAAAAGTCACTAAAGTCGGGACCACGTAAGCTTGCAGTTGGTGGCAGCCAATCACAAGACAAGGCTAGTGCGACGTTGCCACATCGCCCATTGACAACACTAATTAAAATATACTAAGCAATATTTTCAAATCAGCTGGTATTATTCGATTTGGCAACAACGCACAGTTCTCATTGGTTCATTCAAAACCATATGGTAAATAGGCTCCTCCCTCAACTGCAAACTTACATGGACTTATAACTTACGTGGACTTATAGAGACTTAGGTCTAAATCCAAAGATCCAACATGACCATGGTATAATAAAAACACATGTTTAAAATTGATTATAAAATTTAAAGAGTTTTAAACTGCTTTTTAAACTATACAAAATGATCACAGCTTCAATAACAGATGTTGTGTTGTTTAAAAGTTATTGAGAGTTGTAATATTAACCTTAACAATAAAACAAGTTTTCCAGCCTTGAAAATGTTACGAAATACCGCTACAGGTACATAGACTATTGCTCGTACAGTTCACTCATTTGCTCACATAGAGCTCTAGATAGAGAATGCGGAGTCCATGATGCGGATTGTTTGGTGATTTTTCTACTCGCTTTCGGGGTTTTAAGTAAACCGGGATTTTCTTTTTTCACACTGTTTAGCCATTTACTTTCCTCCTGCAATAGCGCCTTCTTGGTGGTCGGTACTTTAAACTTAAAGCTGTTTTCTTTGTTTTCACTTGAAGAACGTCTTGAAGAGTCCAACATTTTCTTCATGGCTCTAATCTTGACGACATCTTGTTGACAATCATCTTGGATGTCTTGGATGTCCCTCTTGATGGCTTCACACTGTTTCTGCAAAGCATTTACACGTTGTGCTGCCCTGTTCATTAAAGCTTGTTCCATATCGTTCAGGTCAGAGATTATTTTCTCCAAACTAGGTTCAGATTCTTTCTTCTGGTCTGTTTCACAATTTGACGCAGACGGGTCCTCAGGGATTTTTTCCAAGGGTGTGATATGGTTGTACTTGACTGTGTTATTGATAGTGGTGTTCATCAAAGTATTGTCTAGGTCCGTTATCGTGCGTTCATTTAGCTCAAACTCAATCACAGACACATCACAATCCTCGTTGATAGTACTGAGTTTTCTTCCACTATTTAGCACTGTTTCTTTTATGTCCTCCGTCAGTGTAATATTCTTCTTTCCAGAGTCAGGACTGCCTATGCAGGTGGACGATAAAGGAGGAGAAAACTGCAGTTGAGGATTGGGATCCACAATGGTCAAACGTTCTATTTTATCTAAATCCGGATCCAAGGGTTGTTGCAATTTCTCTTTCATGATGAGCCTGGCAAAACGAGAAGCATCCGGGGAGTTTGGAGGTTTTAGGTTGTTGAAATCAATCGAGTATGATGTTTTTGACAGTTTTTCTTCCAAAAGAATCCTGTCCAGACGAGAAGTCTCTGGTAAGTCTGGTGGTTTCAAGTCTTCACGGTTGCTGATGTAAGATGATGGTTTGGGCTGCACAGAAATAGAGGGTGCTGGTTTGATGGAGGCAGACGTAGGCAATGGTCCGTAGCGTAAACTCTCCAGTTCTATTCTGCGTCGCTGAAGAGTGGCAGGCGTTTTGGTGAGTCTGTCAGTCGTCGTCGGTGTTGGGGCTATGCTGGTTATACCTGTCTCATCCTAAAAGGAAAGGATCAAATCAAATTAAATCAAAATTTCTTTTATTTTGTATAAAATAATCACTTTTCACAGTTTTTACAAAATATCATATTACAATAGAAATAGAACTGAGTACCTTAAACATATACGAAATTAATCCCACATGGGAGAACCAGTGCGTGGGAGTGAGTAGTTTTTATTGAGAAAATAGATTTTTATTGAGGAGTTTCCATTATTTTGATTCTCAAATAACAATTAAGCAAGTGGCGGTCACAGGGTGTGGATATGCCAGTCAGGATAACAGAAAAATAACTACTAATAAACTGATGGTCCAATGGTGAACTACAAAATAAATGTAGCTGTAACTACTTCATGTACAGCAGGTAATCAGCTTTATTTTTATTCAAGCCAATAAATTTCCTAGAAAGTTTAGGCGTCCAACTTTGCATGGATTAGTTGACAAATTTCTCAACACTAATGTTGGTAGAGATGGGCGTTATTTAACGTAACAGGGTAAATAACACTTTTAATAAATTGTAACCTGTTATCAAGATAACACATTGGCTTATGAATTGATCTCCTGTACCGGTTCCGTCAGAATCAAAGTCCTGAAAGCAACAAAAAGTCTTTAAAATAATAAAATGTAAGAAAACGTTCCATTCCAGCCGGAATTTAACGTACACGAGAACTGTACATAGTGTGGCAACATTAACACCAACAATAATTATGGAAAAACGAACAAAACGTCCAGCTAGGTAACACCCATGCTAGAATTAAGTTACAGTATATCCGGGCCGAAACGAACGAACACGGCCAGTAACATGGTAGAGCAATAACACCCAGCGAGAATTTCGTTACATTACGGCCAAACTGGAACGAATAAACCACCCGCAGAGAGTAACGCCAAGCTGGAATAATAACGATACAGCCCAGCCGAGCCAGAACGAACATACGGCCAGTAACAGGGTAGAGCAATAACACCCAGCGAGAATTTCGTTACATGCCCGCCGAGCTGGGGCTGGGATGTGTCACCTGGATGTCACGGTGTGGTGGGGGAGGAACGGACCGGTAACAGGTTACAGAATTAACAGGTTACTGTAACCTGTTACCAAGTTGTAATGGAACGGTGTAACGCGTTTCTCAAAAGTAACGGTAATTCCCATCTCTATGTTGGAGTTTCCACTATTTACAGACTATTATTGTTAATACTAGAGATTGCAGCCCTGTGTCAAACTTGTCAACCTTTTAAAATCTTAAATGTTGGGTTTTTTTAATTTATGAATTAAAACCGTCTACATACTGACCATTTCTTAAAGATTATATTCGTAAAGAGTAAACTTTGTCTAAATTTTGGTTTGCTCAGTTGTCGTGTCGTCAAGAGTGAGGGAAAAGTAAAGCAAAGTTTTATTGGCGAGGTTTGTAAAATGTTAAGGGATCAATTGTTTTGACAAATTTAGTTCAAGTGAAAGAAATGCCACTTTGTACGACACATGACACATGGAAGGTATGGATAGGGTTTTAATACAGGGGAAAAGACTAGCTTGAACATCAATCATTCTTGTATTGAGTTAAAAACACCCTTGATATGCTATTTACAGAAGCTTTGGTTATATATACCCAGTGCTTGATTTGTAAAAAAAATCAGGTGACGAAACTTTAACCTAATGTGATTTGTACTCTTTAATGTACCAATTAATGCCAATATTTTTATATTTCCGAAAGAGAGGTACTGAAACTCCGGTCCGCTGCATTCCCCCACAAATCGAGCACTGAATACATTTTAGAGGCGCAAAATGGACCTAGAACTTTTTTGGGCCATTTGGAGTTTGTGTTAGTACAAAATATAAATCATGACATTTTTTTCTAATATTGTGTCGTGAAATCTTATTTGAAATTTAATTTAGTAATAGTAGTCGTATGTATTTTTATCCAACTAATACTGTTTTTACCCCTCTCTACGATTATCCTGACCAAACTTCAAGTGAGGGGATGTCTTAATTATAGTAGGCCTAAATTTTTATAACTTACCAGAAAATTTTCATTAGATGAATGGAGATTTCTCTCTAGACCCTGAAAAAACAGAGAATGCATTAATTTTAAATGTTATCCAATGAATAGTTTTGGAATAGGCCTAAAAAAACAGGCACAACTTTATAAACCTTTAGTCTTCATCATCCCTCTCACTAAAAGGCACAATATTGCTTCTGACACAATTTGTAGGGAATCCATTTGAAAAAAGTGTTTTCTTGTAGTTTAAGCTTTTTTTTTACAAGTTCTAGTAACATAGAATACCTATTTATTGTTTTAAGTAACTTTTTAAATGCCAAAAATTTGACATCTTTACAAAGCTAGGCCTATACAAACAATTAAAAATATGTTTTAAAAATGTTAAGGTGAAAGGGAGTTGGAGTTTTTATCGTTTAGAAGAATAAATAAAAAATAATCTGTCAATGAAGTCGACAGAAACAGCTCAATTCTAAACCATGTTTCGACTTAAAAGCGTAACAGTGGGGTTTTGTACTACTAGCCGTTCGCAAAATGTCCAACCATAGCTAACTTTCTGCCACCAGACTTGACATTAGCCCACACCAGGAAGTAGCTATCATATTAAGTCATCAATTGGTACATGTGTGCGTTGTTTCAGATCAAATGCTCTTGAATCCACCCTAGTGTAACGTTTAAAAAATTCTATATTTATTGAACAAATCTTTTCAATACTCTTCAGGTTTTTACGATACAAAACATATAATGATAAGATAATAGTAATTATGATGGTTTTCATTGATGGTATATGGTTAATATTGATGGATATGGTTTTAAAATTATATACAGTAGACTCCCTATTATCCAAACTCCTTGGGACCGAGGCCAGTCCAGATTTTTCCGGCTAAACCGACGTCCACAAAAACTCGTTAAAACAGACCGTTTAAATGCATACTGTATACAGTATTCGACTTAAATTTAGGAGAGCATTGTATTTAGACACGTAATCACTGGTCTCGAGAACAGTCGTTTCAGTAACGCTTCCTGCCGATCTAGTGCGGTTAAACCGATGTGCTGATAAAAATTGTCCGGTTAAAGAGATGTAATTTTTGCTGAGTGTAGTCCGGTTAAACTGATGTCCGGTTAAAAGGTGCCCGGATAAGAGAAAGTCTACTGTCATAGGCTATTAAATTGTAATAAAAAAATTAAACATTTTGCAATTCAACCAATATTAGTAATATACCTAAGGCTACAGAATTTATAACATGCTTGGCCATAATTGTTTTTTTAATGCTTAATCGGTTTGGTTAAAATAGTCTAAAAAGGAATAGCAGTGATGATATGAAATTGGTATGTGCGATTCGGTGTCCAAGGATAGAAAAGTTTGCTGCTGCACAGACATAACACGGTCCAGGTGTCCAGGAGTTTTATTTCCTGTTTGTCGCAGGTGTCCAGACAATTTTTTCAAAATGGCACACATAATGGGCAGTGGTCCTACAATACTCGCCCGTCAAAACAAACTTCGCTCCAAGGCCATACCCCGAAATACAGATAGATTCTTAAACAAATTTATAATCTTGGAACTTCTTGCATTTAGAAAAAAGAAATTTATCTTTTGGTCATATTTTTTATGATATTCATTTTCAATTTAATACAGCTTAAGACAGTTGTTAAGAATCCAACATTTACATTACAGACAATAATTGCAGTACTACCAATGATGTATGCTACTGAATTGTTTGTTTGTTATTAGCCTATCTGACTTGTCCAACATTTCAGCTTTTCCTACACTGGTGAGGCGGGTTTAGGTCGGATGCTTGAGGCTCTAATGTAACAAAAAAAGAGAGTGAGATGGTCTAGTGTTTGTGTTAGATTGCGAGACACCAAAGTCCCAGGTTTAAATGCCGCTGATCCCCAATAGGTTTTATCTAAGTGATAACGTCGCAAACTCTAGGCCTAGTCTGAATTTATTAGACTAGAGCCAAGTGTAAACTAGAATTACGCAAATATTTTATTATCAAATGGTTTTAGATACTCGGGTATAAGTTATAATGTGAGTATTACTTTTAGTACATACCTGTGATCTGTAGCCAACCGTGAAGTTGAATCCAGGACTTTTGGTGAACAAGCATTTCTTAAAATCCTTAAAATCCTTTGGGGTCTTATCAAATTGATGTGGCGTTCTCTTCTTTGCTGAAAGATATAAAGTAAAGATTACTACTGTATTAACAAGTTCCAGATGTAGCCAAACAAGATAATTAAAATGTGACACCAGTATGGTGTATTTTACTTTTCTGACTACCATACATGGTACCCGTCTCCAACGATTAGATTCATAGAGGTATTACATAGAATGATGTTAGGGAAAAAAGACGATCGTGCAAAAGTAAAAGTATGAGTATCAATCTGTGATTACAATTCTGAGATCCAAGGGATCAAGACCTTGCTATGGGGAAAAGTTAGATAAAAAAGGTCCGTAATGGGTGGTGGGTGTTGGATCGTTTAAACATTAGTACAATGTAATGAAATGAAATGAAATGTCTTTATTTGCTTTTAACATGAAAAACATGCATTGCAATCGTCAAAGTTACAGTCACTTATCATACAAAGCAAACCATGCAAAAATACAGATTTGAGTACAAAACCATGCGTTCTACTTGCCATGTAGGCTGGCTGCAGTTTTTTGTCAATTTTGTTATAACAGAAACCATTACAGGGATATTTTGCTTGCACACTACCAAAGACAATGATTATAATCTGGGTAGTATTAAACACGCTAATCCACAAAGTTTCAACTTGGATTACTGTCTCTGTAACACATGAGCCTACACCATTCTTAGCAAAAGCTGACCTTTTGCGTACCAGTGTATGCTATATAGCCTTCTGTAAGCTTCCTAAGCATATTTGCAACGTTTTTATGTCCATACTCTTTTCTTCATCACCAGGATATAGACAGGTAATGGGTTTCAATAGGGTTTGAACTCTCTCACCTACAAGAGGCTTTTCATCGGTAGGCTATTCCTAGAGTGTGATAATTGTCAGGACAGTGATTTTCCCTCACTTCATTATCAGATACTATGAGATCGCATTAGAAGCAAGCTGGTCCAGCAGTGGTAAAGCGCAGGGCTTCGGATCCTGAGGTCCCGGGTTCAAATCCCGACAATCACCAATGGATTTTATCTATGTGAAAATGTTGACCCTCTAGGACTAGCCTGAAGTACAGCAGTTCCAGTCCAGAACATATCGTCCAGGGATGTGGAGGTGGAACAACAACAAAATTACGAGATTGCCGCATTTGGGTTGGAACCGGTTACAGTGGGTAGTGGTAAAGTAGGTAAATAGCACGGAGATAGTTCAAGGTTTGAAATAGCATAATGGATTTATTTGTAATACATTATTGTAGGCCCTATGGGCATCTTTGGCAATTGCCTTTGACGTTTAAATTCCTGAACATTATATTAGCTACATTACAACCTGGTTTCTCTCACCTGATCTTCCCCGCCAACTGTCGTTGGATCTCTCACCGCTGCATCTCTCACCGCTGCTTGAAGTTGTTGCCTGCGGCACAGCTGGTCTCGTCTGCACGGGCTGTTGAGTTGCCAGGTGTCTCCGACCCAGCATACTTCTTCTCTTTTTAAACATTCTACAAAAAGGAAAACTCTTTTATATGAAAAAAAAACTAGTTAGGCCTAATTTAAGTAACTTACCTAAAATTCCTGCTTTGAAGAATAATATTGGATGTACAACGTATTAGGCCTTAACTTAGCCTGGCAAGTCTTATTAAATATTTTTATTTTAGATCAACTAAGTTAGCCATCAAAGCATGGTAAGGATGATAACTTACACAACAAAGGCTGATCACATTATGTTTGCCTCGGATGGACATTGGACATATTCTCAGGAAATTAATGGAAAAACACCATCAGAACATTATGTTTGGGAAACATATTTTCCTCTTGATTGCACTAAATGTAACTGTATCTAAAACTCACAACCAGGCCTAACTTATACCGAAATAAGTTTGTTAGAACCTAAGTTATGGCAATGCAAAATTAGGTATGATCACGATAAATTTTAGGCAAGAAAAAAGTGGCGAATGGTAGGCTTATTGCATAAATTAACTAGGCCTAACTTAAGTCGGTCCTTGTTCACAGTCTAGAAGTTTATCCAGTTAAAAAGAACTGGATAGCTATCGAACAAGTCAAAAATTATAGATTCCTTTAAGTAACAGGAAAAAAAACGCAGATATCAACTAGGCCTACATTGAGAAGCAAATCAAATCAAATCAAAATAGCATTTATTCCGCCAAAATATTTACATAGCCTATTACATCATATTAGTTCCATACAAGAATGTTTACAATAATGTTTAGTTTTTCAATAATATTAAATTTTAACATAGGCTAAACATAAAAATATAAAAAAGCTTTTTAAATTAACGAAATATCTTCCACAAAGAAAGAATACCTGAGCTGTGTGTGGAAGAGAGTCGTATTTTATATATCTAGGCCAATATATTAAATAGCAAGAATCAAGTCATTTATTAACTGCATTGGCCTTATGTAAATCAGGGGCCCTGTCACACGAGGCAACTGGTGGCGTCCACCAATGTCCGCCACTGGTTGCCCGCTGCAGCTTTAACATTGTTTTAAGTGGGGGGTTTCAGACGCAGCCTCTGCAGTTGCCCGTCAGGACACAGTGGCCGAACAGTGTCTCCTTGCGCAACTGCAAGCGGCAACCACAGTGGCGGCAACTCACGGCGGGGCTTTAAATTAAATGGGAGTTTTCAGACGAAGCCACTAGTGGCCGCCACCGCGGATGCGCGTGCATCTACTATACACCAATAATAAAAGTAAACAATAAACCAGACTATAGGCCTAACCAATAAACAGTCAGTTCACATGCAGAGACAAACGCACTTGTGCTAGTTGTGGAGTGTTTTCTTGTTGACCTGTATATTTGTTTGGTTAAGAAATGAGTGATCAGAAGAAAAACAGAACAGAATAAGAGACTAAACAAAATAATAGAAGACAAAATTAATACTAACAACGTAATAAAGGCCATTGTCCTTCCTGGAGGTTAGTATAGTATGGACATGGAACATACGCCTACGTCTTTGCCTTCTTTTCTTAATTAACTTAGTAACACGAGAAGGAGATGTGCATTGCTCATCAGCATTTTCTCAACTATCGTAGCTTACGGTGGCTGTTTGTGGAGTGGCATGTCATTTGACTGTACCATCCACTGTAGTTGCCCGGCTGGTAACTGGTGGCGGACACCAGTGACTTCCATATCTGTTGGCACAAACAACTGAATGAAAATATCGATCAATATATCGTTTGGTTAGTTAGGTAAGGTTAACCTAACCTAACTAACAAAACGATGTATCGAATAAAACAATCAAATATTCATTATTTTCATTCGGTTGTTTGTGCCAACAGATAAGTCTACCCCACCTGTGACCTCGTGTGATAGGGTCCTAATGTCTTTAAATGGTAAGTAAAGAGCTACACTGTTGTTGATATTAACAGTAGTAGGCTAAAAGAGTTGTTTTAATCAAATGTCATTGTATGGAAGAATATAAATCTAACTCAAGTAGCCTATCTTAACTTAAATTTGTTAAATAAAGGGTGTAGTCCAAGATCGGATATTGTGATTAAAATAGGCCTAAGCTAGGGCTGTTAGCCTAGTTAATTTTCTTTCTTCCAATTTATATAAAATTATTTAAGCTTATTAGCATGTTCAAACACTCAGAAGAAAGCAACATTTTCCGTGACTTGGACCAATAAATCTAAAGCCTGATTTGACTTGTCTCAAAGATAAACTTTACTAACCTTGGAGGTTATCCTGTCGAGCCCACCACAAATTTAGCTTTAATACTTCAAATAAGTGTATTTTCTAGAAATGCTTGTGAAAAGTATCTATTGAATACAGTAAACCCCCCAATTCTGAAAGCAGATATGAAACAACAACTAACGATTACTAAAAGAAACTATCACTCTATTATTCTATAATCAAAACATTCAAAATTTTAAATTTGAGTTGATCGTTTCTTCCTTCTCGTCCAGTCCAGTCAGCCGTCACTTTTTTTGACCTGCTGGACTGGGCTGCATGACGTTTATTATTCCTTTCCAAAACCCCTGTTCCATTCTTGGTTCTGTTTCATTATGAAAGTGTTTTTATAGTGGTTAGGGTTCACTTACTCTACGAATCATTGACACAATGAGCCTCCAAATATGTAATTCTTAAAACACATGGCTCACTTACTCTACAAATCATAGTCTATACGAGCTTCGTAAATAATATTGAAGGTTCACTTGCACTACAGGCTCGTATACTATACGAGCCGATCAAAAATATCAAATAAATTAAGAGGGTTCACTTACTCTACAGATCATTGTGCCTATGAGCCAAGCGTATGAATTCTTGAATAATTCAGGAATAAGCTCGTATAGTATACGAGCCAAAATACTGAATTTAAATAAATTACAGGAGTAGGCTCGTATACTATACGAGCCTATTTCATGATAACTATTACACAAATAGAAGACGGCTCACTTACTCTACAGTTCATTGGCACAATGATCTGTAGAGTAAGTGAACCCTCTACAAATATTAGAAGGCTCACTTACTCTACGGTTCATTTAGCTACTCGTCGCGCGGTTTGCAGCGCATCGTTGCAGGCGTGTATGGTAAACCAATACCGCAGTTCTGCCGTTCTGCCTTACTTCTGCCGTTTACTAGTCTTGCAGCGTGAAAGAGAGCTTGTTATGTTAATGCATTGTTGAATTTTTAACTTGTGTACTCGTTGCTAGAAATCAAGCAATTATCAAGTACCGGTACAGGAGCTATTTTAAGAGTTATTACAGACTTAATTTTCAATTAATTAAAAAGACTCACGTAAAAGCTTATGCAACTAATGGAATTACTTACTGTGTTATGAACATTTCTATATAATTAAAGTTGTAAATATTTTAAAATTGTTTAGAAGATTGCCTTTTTAGTGTTTTCTACAAACGTGTCTCAACTTATACACATAGACTGGTGGAGTGGTAATTTATATTTCTAATCATTTAACTTTAAATTATGAACGCTTTCAGTCACGTGAAGTTGAATTAATTAAACTGACATTAGTTTTTACCATAAATGATAAACCTTTTGAAATTGACTTAATAGCTTTGTATAGAAACTATAAATATGATTTTTATTTTTTCCGCAATGATTTGCAACGTATTTTGAGTAATTGTAAAAACACAGCTATTATGTTAGGAGATATAAATTTATGCATTTTAGAACAAAATAACAGTGTCATTGATTATTTAAGTATAATGAACTCATTTGGTTTTGAGTCGTTTATAAATGAGCCAACTTGGGGGAGAGAAAATTGGGTAAAGTGTTTAGACCATGTATTCATCAGAAGTAAGACTAATTTAATTTTTCATAGTAATTTAGAAAACTATGACTTTACTGATCATGCTGGAGTTAATGTAAATTGCGTAACAAGTTGTGATAGTGGTTTGAAAGAGGAGTTTGTCAAGGCTGTAGATCATTCAATTTTAAAAAGAAGGTTGGCTGAAGTGAGCTGGATGCCAGTGTTTGATTGTGAGGATGTTGATAAATCTCTAACAGTTTTTTACGATATTTATAATAAATGTATTGAGCAATCAAGTTTTTTAAGGCCTATTAACAGTAAAAATAGGCATCGAACTCCATGGATATCGGACACACTAATTAAAAAGATAAATGAAAAAAAACAGACTTCACTCTCGATTGAAAAAGCACTATGACATACATTTGTTTAATAGATATAAAGAACTCTCTAGAGAATGTTCTAATTTGAAAAGACGGGAAAAAATTAATTATTACTCATCTAAAATTGAAGCAGTAAAGGGCTGCATCAAAGTCTTATTGGAATATATGCAAATCTATTATGAGAAAGTCAAAAAATGAACTAACATCGATTAATATAGATGATGAAATTGTACAGGTTGAGGGTAATGAAAAAATAGTTGCTGACTCATTCAATAACAATTTTACTGGTATGCCGGATAAGCTGATTAGAGAATTGTATGGGCCGGGATTCCCCGCCATGCCGGATATCAGTCTAGCGTGCAGCTCAAGGTTACGTTTATCTGAAATTACTGAGGTAGAATTAGAAAGTTTAATCTTAAGCAAACCAAATAAACAGTCTGTTGGCTTTGATGGTATTTCCATAAATACTATAAAAGAAAATGTTAAGATTTTTGTCCCAATATTACGTCACATTTTTAATTTATGTATAAAGCTAGGTTACTTTCCTTCTAGTCTAAAAACAGCACTCATTGTTCCAGTATATAAGGCAGCTGATCCATTGCAAATGAATAATTACCGACCGATCACTTTTAAATACCTTTGCTAAGCTGTTAGAAACTTGTGTGAAAAGCCAATTAGTTAAATATTTTTCAGATAACAATTTATTTTCAAATAATCAATTTGGGTTCATGAAAGGTAAAAATACTGACCTAGCAGTTGAAAGACATATAAGCGAGATAGTTAATCATGTTGATGAGCGTAAACCAACAATAGGAGTTTATCTTGACTTTACTAAGGCATTTCACTTAGTTAATCAAGACATATTATTACATAAACTAAAGTTATATGGAATTCAGGGAAATAGTTTTAAGTGGTTTGAGACTTTTTTAAATGAAAGAAAACGGATGGTTAAAATAAAAACCGTTTACTCAGATGTATGTTCTCAAAGGCTTGGCGTCCCTTAAGGGGGAGTGCTTGGACCAATTTTATTCACAATTTATATTAATGACATGTTATCAATGGATTTAAAATCGAAGATATATGCTTTTGCTGATGATACATCTTTAGTATGCAGTGCTAACAATTATGATTTACTGAGGATGAAAATTAATAATGATTTGGACGTAATATCAAATTGGGTGATAAGAAACAAATTAATCGTCAATACTTCTAAATCTAATGCAATGATATTTACTTACAAACCTCATTTGACAGAGTCGTTGAAAGAAGAGATCGATCTACGTTGTCATTTAGTTACTTGTTTTCGTGATTGTTGCTGTACAAAAATAAATTTTGTTGATTCGGTCAAGTATCTTGGCCTTCATATAGATTCAGATTTAAAATGGCATACACATGTTAATCAACTATGTAAAAAACGTAGAAAAATTAACTATAATTTCTTTCATTTGAGACAGTTTATTACTCCTAAACTTCTTAGAACGCTATTTATCCTGGTTTGAATCTACTCTTAAGTATGGTTTAATTCATTGGGGAGGGACGTTTTCAACAATACTTAAACCAATTGTAATAATGCAAAAGCTTACATTAAAAACTATTTGTGGTGTAAAGAAATTTGACTCAGCTGCACCACTGTTTCAGTACTTGGACGTAATGCAGCTAGAGAAGATATATTTATATTCAAATAGCTGTAACCCGCGGGCTCTGTCCCGTTTAACTTCTTAATTTTCAAGATTATCTCGTTCGCATGGCTCAATCACGTCCTGGTTGAAGTTTGTTCGCTACGCTCACTCACCTTTAGGTTGGAGCTCGTTCGCTGCACTCACTTGCCTTCAGGTTAGCTCGTTCGCTACGCTAACTCGCCTCCAGGTTGAAGTTCGTTCGCTACTCTCACTCACCTTTTGGTTGCAAATTAGCTGTTGTCATAAATGTAAAAGAAATAATAGTGCTGCACCCTGTTGGTAATCCTTGTAACTTTAATGCCATTGAACATCATAGAACAGAACCAACTTGTTTAATTGAAACAGCTGTTAAGCTTCAATAATTCCATTTCTCATAAGGTTAACATGGGAAACTCCAGAGCCACTGGGGCGGAGCCCGAAAGGATTTTTGAACTAAGAATATGCCTATATGTTAATCGGGAATGTGAGCTATCATCATGCCAAATTTCAGCCCAATCCGACCAGTATTTTTCGCGTTCACTTGTCACAAACATACATCCATACATCCATCCATACATCCATACATCCAAACTTTCTCATTTATAATATTAGTAGGATAAAAAGTTTACTAGTTTATTTCAAACAGTTGTTATTAATAGGAGTACGAGAAACTATACTGAGGGTATGCTTATGATACCACCTGTTATGAAAGACACAAGCAGGTTACAGTGTTACCATAAAGTAGTAAAATGTTTTAACTTTAATTTTAGAGTACTCAAAAATATGCAGGATTTGAAAATTGAATTATATAAAAATAAATTAAAGGAATTGATAAAGAATAACTCAATCAAACAAAGTGAAATAATTAATTATCGAATGTAGCATATACCGTTAAACGATTTGTAAATATAAAATAGTATGTAAGAGTGAATAGCCAGTGAAGGGATGAACCATAAGTGTTTGAGAAAAATCTAATTAGATATAAGGTATCAGTGACAGTGAATTTAAAGTTAAACAGAAAAAAGACAGTTAAAATAAAATGAACCTACTCAAGACAGTGTTAAGTTTTTCAACCACACGTGTTTTACAACACATGGTTGAATATTTGTATAAAAAAATGTTTTTTATGTGAATAAAGATTTTTGAACTGAACTGAACATAGCCGCATTAATGTTAATGTGCATGTGCATTTTCGCCAATGATAATGTACCAATGTCGACCGTACCAATGTCTAAACTTTACTTTCAAATGAATTTGTTGTTAAATTTTTTTATGTTTATACATCATACAGAATTTAAATGTTTTTACGTGACAAAAATAACGAAATATAACAAGCTACATTACATACAATATAATTTAGGCTTGAGCTAATGGAAAACTGTAGTTTTCGCATACTTGTCTTAACTTACAGATTCAATTACATCCTTTGTTTACCAAACAAGATATTTACATTTATTGAAAAAATAACACTTAGACAGATCAATAATTGTAAATTACGATGACAACTGCATTTACATAACAATCCTTATACAAAGAAGTATGTTTTTGTGACAAAGACCGGCCTTTTACAGTAATATGGTTTACAGTACTTATTAATTGCGCGGTTGTTAAATGCCCTTATAAACATATGGAAATTAA